GGGATGGGCACAGAGATGCTCCTGGCATTGGGATGGGCACAGGGACACCTCCGGCACCGGGGTGGGCACAGAGATACCCCTGGTGCAATATGGGGGCACGAGGGCACAGAGATGGACCTTGTGCCCTGTCCTGGCACAGCCTCAGTCCAGCCCTTCTGAGAAGGGCCGCAAGGTCACTCCGTGCCCCAGGCCCATCGACCCCCGTCCCCCGCACCCCCAGCCCTACCGTTGGTTTTGGGGTTGCCATCAAACTCGCCCACAGCCACCGAGTACCCTGCATGGARAGGGGCACTGGTGACCCCGGGGTGTCGCAGCAGGAGCTGGCAGTGGGGCAGGGTGCCCGTGCCCGCTGCTCACCCCGGTACCCGTCCTCGTAGTCCCTGGGCACCGGCTCGGTGGGGCGCCCGGGGGTCCCCAGCCACAGCAGGGACGTGCCGAGGAAGCGCCCGAGGATCTTGTCCAGCTCCACCGAGTACACCAGCCCTGGGGGACACAGAGGGGGTGGCACCAGCACTGACGGGGCACCCGCTGCCACACGCCCCGGGCCGCCAGAGCCACTGCGGGTGGCACCCGTGGGGTGTCCCATGCCGGRTGCCCCCYTCCCGCCGTGCCCATCCCAAGGGARCAYCCCGGGAGCGGCGGCCGAGGGGCAGCGCCGGCAGGAAGGACTCACCCGTGAAGTAATACCCGCCGGGGGCACCCAGCACCAGCGTCCCGTCCTGCGGGAGGAGAGGGCTCAGCACCACCCCGGGCACCCCGGATCCCCCCCAGGCATCCCCACCGCAGTATTCCCCACCCTGGCATTCTTCTCAGGTATCCCCACCCCCGTATTCCCCATCCTGGCACCCCCAGCCCAGCATTCCCCCCACTCCTAGGGCCTCTCCTCTTGGCATTCCCACTCCAGCATCCCCCACCGTGTCCCCAGTACCATCCCGGCCGYACCCACTGCAGCTCTGGCAGCACCCCATGCATATCCCGGGGGGCCCCCCGACCCCTCCAAGGTGCCCGAACCCCCCGACTCCCACAAAGTCGCCTCTCACCGGGGTGACAGCGGCGCTGAAGCCGATCTCGCAGTAGCGCTTGTCATGCGCTGCGGGCACAGGGCAGGGTCAGACGGGCGCGGGGTGGGGGGCACTCCCCACCCCCCGGGCCCCCCTCACCGTAGCTGCTGTGGCGGTAGGTGCTGGCCATGGTCCGGTCGCGGCACGGAGAGTACCAGAGCAGCCGCCGGCCCGGGGTGCGCACGAAGCAGGCGCCGGTCGGGGTGCGGAACGCCTCGTCCTCCCCCTCCAGCGCGTTCCAGTGCTGCAGCGGGGCGCAGACCTGGGCACGGCGATGGCACCGGCTGGGTGCCCACTTCACCCCGCCGCCGCCCAGGACCACCCACATCCCCCCGAATCACCCACCACCAGATTGCCGTTCCAGCTGGTGACGGACGCTCCCAGCCACTGGTGGGACTTGTAGGTGCGGAGCTCCAAGGTGCCCTGGGTCTCCTTCTCGTTCCCTGGGGCAGCGGGAGAGGGGGAATGTGCGGGGCTGGCACCCACCCCGCGCCCACTCCCCGCTCCACGGCGCCCACGCACCCGCAGTGTCGATGGGGAGGGGGTGGCAGGGGGTCTCGTCGGGGGGCCAGGAGCAGAGGAAGACGGCGCCGGGCTGAGCCACGTCGGGCTGGGAGGTGTTGGCACGGGGGGCCCCCACCGCCACGCTGGGCCTGGGGGGCAGAGCGGGTGTCAGAGTTGGGGGGAGGGTGCCGTGCCCACCCCAACACCCCGGTGCCTCCCTACCTTCCCTCGCTCATGTGGAAATCCAGGGCGAAGCCGAAATAGCTGCCAGGGGGTCCCTCRTAGACGGTTGGGGGGTCCTGGAGGAGCCCCAGGGTGAGGGGCAGGCGCAGCCCCCCGAGGAGAAGCAGCACCCGCAGCAGCGCCATCGTCACCCCAAAACGCGGCCACAGCCCGTGCCGGGTGTCCCTGGCTTATCTGGGGGGATGCAGCTGGGGACGGGGCCGGCAGGAATGGGGAGCACAGGAAGGGCCCCCCCGCAAGCACATCCGCTCCTGCGGGGAGCCAGAGAGGTGCGGGAGGACACGGTCAGAGCAGGGCGGGGGACGGGAGGTGGCAGTGGCACCGGGACACATGGTGACAAGCGGGGACACACAGACACAGAGCAGCCTGAGCCCACCGCCCGCCGGGCCCAGACCCTGCCCGCCGCGGGGTGCAGGGGTCGGGGTGGCCGTTTCGGGATGTCCATCTCGGGGTGGCTATTTTGGGGTGGCCGTTTCGGGGTGTCCATCTCGGGGTGGCTATTTCGGGATGTCCATCTCGGGGTGGCCGTTTCGGGATGTCCATCTCGGGGTGGCTATTTTGGGATGTCCATCTCGGGGTGGCTATTTCAAGGTGCAGGCAGTCCCCACCAGCGGAAATGTCGCGAGGATGTGGAAGGACAGCAGAGCACAGGGCCCCGCCATCGGCCCCGGTGTCCCCTCCACAGCCGGATGGAGCTGACAGCGCTCAGCCCACCCCCACGCCGTGTCCCCCTCCCCAGGACAGGACACCCCAAAACCCTGCCAGGGCAGGGAAATGGCTCCGCCAAGGGACCGTGACAGGGTGGGGACAGCCCAAAGCCGAGCGAACGAGGCGCGTCCTCGTCCCCACAGCGGAGCCGGGACCCTGCAGCCAAGCCAGGCCTGTCGGGGCTCAGCCCTGCCCGGCCAGCGGTGCCAGCCCCCGAACCCACCTGCAGAATTAATTAAATCATATCCAATTAAGGACTCTCATGCTGCCCGGGAGCTCCTCGTGCCCACCCAGGGCCAAGGCCAGGGCTAGGCCCCGGAGCATCTCCCCGGGAGCCAGCCCGTGCGAAACGCGGCTTTTGTCGGGGGAAGGTCGGGGGAGCGGGGGATCTTGGGGGGCACAGGGGGATCCCACACACCCCCGGAGCCGGCTCTGCTTCTGCCCTTGGGAGCAGCTGGAGCCTCTGGGCTGTCCTGGAGCAGCTGCGGGTGGAAGGGAGCGGGATTTGCCCAAAGCCCTGGCAGAGTTCCGAGGCTCGGAAGGGTTTAGCSGAGCCCGGATCAGCTCCGTGCCCCGGGAGGACACCGGACTGAGGGACAGCTGCTCTTCCTCCGGAGGTCTCGTCCCCGGCTGGCAGCAGCCTCTGAACGCAGCTGGAGCCCACACCAGACCCCCTCAGGGCAATTGTCATTCTTTCTTCTGTCCAATTACTTAATTTCCTGTTTCTTTCAGCACTCCGGCAGCATCACTCAGCAGCCGCCCCCTGTCAGGGCCACCCGGAGGACAGCCAGGGAATGGCACCCCGGACTCCCACCACGCTGCCATGCACGGGTTTGCATTTTTTCCTTTAACCAAACCAGGACCTTCGGTTAGGAAAGGAGACGACGGCGCTCCACACAAGCAGCTCCACACCACATCTTTTTTTTTTTTTTTTTCCACAAATCATTGGTTTATTAGAAAGGTCTTTTTCCCTCATTTTACAGCATATATATATATTTATATATATATCTTATGTGACAAAGTTAAATACAGTCTGTTTATGCTCGTTAAGTAATGACAGGTTAATTATTTTTAGCGCTATCCTGAAGTCCAAAAACAATTCCTGCCCACAGAGTGCTGGGGCTGGGACAAGGACGGGCCCTACGAAGCTCAGCTCTGACAGTAACACTGAATTGTTCGGTATTTACAGGAAATTGAGTCCCTTTTTTGTGACTGCTGTCACTCTGACCTGCTCCGATTTCTCGTTTACACGGTGAGGGAGCTCAGGGGGTTTTGATCCTTTGACTCTGCTTGGTCTGGTGCTGTACTCCTGGATGGGAYAGAGAAGGGGGTGAGGATGGGTGAAGGACAGGGAAAGGGACAGGGATGTCACCACATCCCCCCACTGCTCTGAAATGCCTCTCAAGGCCTGTGACACCGACAGTGCCTGCTCAGCTGGGACAGCAGCAGCTCGTCCCCTGTGCTGGGGTGGGGAAGCTCCCAGGGACAGGGTCACTTGGGAGAACAGGGAAATCCTTTATGGAATAAGCCAGGATGAGCCYGTGTGTGGGATGGGAAATGGTCCTAAGGCTCCTCCTGCACCAGCAGGCCCCACATCACCCACATCACCGCTTCCAAAGCTGGGGGAAAGGAAAAAAAAAAGGGCTTTTGATACTCTGTGAGCACCCCGAATTCCTGCTGCTCCTCAGGCTGCTCCAGTGCCCATTCCTATGGCAGGGAGGAGCACAGCATTACCTGCCAGAGCCACTGCTACCCCCACACCCCTCACCTTGCCCAAGTCTCACCTGTTGGTTTTTTTTTCTTCTGCAAAATTCTAAATGAAGTTTTTTTTTTTGTTTGTTTTTACATTTTATAGTACATAAAAACTTCAAAAATACATGAGCTTGATAAAATATACATGCTTAGTTGTTCTGCATCTAGCTGAAACTATAAATTGAACCTTTACAAGTGTCTTGGGTCACCTACAGCAAACATATTTACACAGAAGCCACCAGAACAAGTACCACTAAGAACTGGCTGTAAAAAATATTATTGCAATATACTACAAATGTAACCTTTGATAGGAGCTACAAAAAGCAGCATCTTTGTTTACAGAGTTCAGTGCAATTCTTTACATTAAAAAAAAAAAMCMAAAAAAACCAAAAAACCAATCCTATAAATTAATAAGGAAACCATCAGTGTTACAGAGGAAAGAACACGCTTTTCACCGCGCTGCGCTCCCCCATCCTCTGTATTGCTTCAATTCCTAACAGGATTTTYCTTCTCTCTCCCATCCCAGTGCCTCTTTCCCAAGACCACAGAAGATGGAATTCAGAGTGATTTTTTCCCCCCTTTCAGGAGAAGAGTGGTCAAAACCTAGACTGGAATTCCGAGAACCTCTCTCCAGTCTGGGTATCCCAGCGTGGTCCTAGCATGGGAGGATACGGACACGGGATGGAGACGGATGGGAGCTCTAGACACACACGCAGAGCTCCTCCTCCTCTTTACACAGAGATCTTCCTTCCACCTTTGCTGTTAACACCAAGAAAAACCCACGTGTGCATTGACAGGAGCCAAGGAACCTCCTGCAATGCCTGAAAACTGAGGCCTCCAGCCCCTCGCCAGTACCCGCAGCCGACAGCTCCCGATGTTCCGTCGCCAATTACAAACCGGATTCAATCATGCTGACTATTTTAATTAGATGACCTCATTACAAGGATTTTTAGAGAACCTATTAGTGTGTRTGAAACCTCATTTATCATATACAAGGCGGCAGAAGGAAGATGACCAAGTCTAAGAATCCAGGGGAAAAAAAGCCTTTCCGAGTGTCTCGCTGTTGTACAGGTGAGATGGTTCTTCTGGAGCGGTGCTGCTGCGTGCACGGAGGTGTCGGAGCGAGACATCCCTGGGAGTGGATACAGCCAACAGCCCAGCCCTCGAGCCTCCGGCTTCTTTGGCTGCTCAAGAGTGAAAGGAAATGCTCAGGCCTCACCAGCCCGCTGGCTCGACTCCAACCCCTTCCCAAAACGCCAAATTTTCTCCTTCCTCCGAGGTTCCTTCATTTTGTCCTTCATGTGCCGTGGCTGGGTGGATGCTGCAAGTCCTGTCCTGAGAAAATGGGGTGCAGCAGGGGGTGGAGGTGCAGGGCCGTGGCGGCTGCGGCGGCCGCGGGCCTGGGGGCCAGCAGGGTCGGGTAGAGAGCGTGAGGGACCGGGTGGAAGGTGAAGGGGCCCGGGTGGATGGCRGACGCCGGAATGATGTGGATGGGGTGGCTGGCCAGGAACGTGGCGGGGTGGCCCGGAATAATCGAGTGGGTCAGGTGGGACAAGGAGATGGGCGTCAGGTGCGGCTGGGGGATGTGGTGGACCTGAGCGAGGGGCTGCGGGTGCGGGTGGGGGTGGATGCCGATGGCAGCGGCGGCRGCGGCRGCGTGGTGCTGCAGGATGGCATGCTGCACCGTGGTGATGGACGTGGCTGACGCCGCCGCCGGCTGCTGGATGTGGATGGGCTGCAGCGCGGGTGCGGCCGGGGCCAGCGCGGCCGAGGCGGGGAAGGCCTTGACYTGCTTGGCCAGCAGCTGCTGCTGGATGTGCTGCTGGGCCGCCTGCTGCAGCTTGCTGTACTTCTCCATCTCCTCAGGGGTGAAGGTGATGGGCTGGCTCTCCAGYGGGGCTAGGGAGGAATCTTCTCCCSCGTCCCGATCCCCTTCCATGCTGGGCTCCCCGCTCTGAGGCACGTAGCCAGGAAAGTGCTCGACGTCTGGAACTAAGGGCATCATACTGGTTTCCACTGGGACCGGCTGATTGCCCCCATCCATGGGCTCCAGCCCGTCGCCGTTGTTCGGATCCGAGAGGAAGTTGTGTGGCATGACCAGATCTCCAGAGCCGAAGCACTCAGGCAGCGCCGGCGCATCCAGGGGAAGGGAYGGCATCTCCACAGCAGCTTCATCGCGTTTCTGCTCATCCAGAGGTTTGTCCTGGATTACCATCACCACGTCTTCCAGGAGAGACTGGCCGGCCAGCTGACCTTCCTCCATGCCTTGGGAACCATCCTCAGCATCCGACAGCTCCTGCTCCTCACCCCTCTCCAAGCCAGACTCCTCATATCTTTTGGAGTTCGGTTTCCGAATGGTTGGCAGCTTCCCAATTAAGGGGAGAACCGGTTTGTTGCCTAAGGAAGGAGGAAGTTTGGGGCCGAAGTAGCCCTGGGGAGGATCTTTGAGTTTTATGCCCACCTTGTTTGGCCCCGACAGCATCTCATCAGTGACACAGGGCTTCTTCTCAACCTTCCTGGACTGAACCTTTTCCAGGAGCAGCTTTGCAGTGAYGGAGTTCCTCTCCTCAGGACTGCAGTCCCCTTCTGAGGCCCGCCCTGTGCCGGAGCCRCTGCTGTTCTGCGAGAGGGAGCCAGACCCTTTCAGATCCTCTCCTTTGCCATCCTCTTTCTTC